TGGGGGGAGGAGCCTGCAAGGCAGCATCCAGAGACGATGATGGAAAAATGAAAATGTTGTCAGAACACAACACGTCACAGCCGTGACCACACAACATGACACGTGATGTCACAGCAGCTCCTGGACACGCACGGCAGACCACGGTCCACGGTCCACGGTCCACGGCAGAAACCACAACAGTGTGTTTTCATGTTGACAGCGAAGACGCCGCTGCAGCGGAGCTCCTCCGTCAAACCAGCTGATTGGACGTTTTACTCCGGCCTCATTAACACTTGGGGCAAGTGTTGAACAACAGTGTCAACACGGCCGCGGGTGGAAAATACGATCTGACCAACTTTGTCACAGAGAATCACACCGTGGACTCCGCTCATGACAACCGGGATCAGCTGGAAAGTTGTGCAGATTCCCAGCATCCACGCATCCTGTCACGCACATAAACGAACCGTCAACACTGGGCAGCACGGTCCCTCCGTGGTGGTGGTGGTGGGGGGGTGTGGGGGTGTGTCCGTGTGTTAGACGGAACGTGCTCTAACATTTTGTCGATTTGAACTGATGACAAGTGCAAAGCAAAGCCACCGCAGAATGAATGAGAGCAGCGACAGACAATGGACGCGTCAGCTGCCGTGTCCTTACCTTCTGTCAGCACCAGGGGCTCGGCGTCCGGGGGACGGACTCCAGGGTAATCCTCTGACCTGAACTCAGATGTTTGGGACTGTATTTACCTCCTCGGTTCCGGGTCTGTCACACTGGATGTCGGAATGATAGCGCGGTCTCGTGCGGTGCAGCGTCTTCCTGTATGTGTGAGCTGCAGAGGCTTCACTGAACCTATGGAGCAGCGCTGCACAGGAGCGGAGGGATGGAAGGAACGACATGGATCAGCCGACTGGGTGGACCGGACTGACAACCTCCAGACACGTCTGTGAGATAAACATGTTCCTTCATCGTTCATATCATAATAAGAGTTATTATACATTATATATATATATGTGTGTGTCCTACAAAACTTATCTTTATACTGGTACAATACACTTTGGTTTTGTGTGTCGCATTAAACTTAAACTTAAACTTATCTTTATTAGTCATTGTGACACAGCACAGCACACCATGCACAACGAAATTTACCCTCTGCATTTAACATCACCAAAGTCAACAGTAGGCAGCCGTGGTCAGCGCCCGGGGAGCAGTGCTTGAGGACGATGGTGGATTCGAACCTGGGGCCTTTCGGACCGAAGTCCGCCTCCTTCACCACTAGGCCACCACTGCTGTGTCACTAATTAACCTAATTAGCACACTGGTCCGTACCATTGTCCATTCATATACGTACCTGTCCAGAATACCAGTGACAACTTCAACGTCAGCGGTCAGTTCTGTGGTCAGTTGCTGTGATTCTATCACATTAATCCGATCGAGGAAGTGGATTCCAGTCTTTAGACCAGGCTCAGGTCGACCCACCACGGTGACCCACCACGGTGACCCACCACGGTGACCCACCGTCTACACCAGAGGTCACATTCAGAGATGTCCGTCTGGAAGATATGAAATAATCAGATGAACTCTTCAAAAACATTCATGTTGTAGTTCTTCCAGCAGCCACTAGGCCTCCATTTACTCAAAGATTCTGACAAAAGCTCAATGTATTTGTAATCTACATTTTAATTCCTGTATCAACAAAACCAACTTCTTATCACAGTCTGACACCAAACCACAACAGTAAGAAGAGTCCGAGGTTTGATCCACCGTAGTACTTTAAAATACTCTAATACCACAGTGAACGTACGCACATAGAGACATTACCTGGGAATTTACTGGAGCCTCGAGGCCTTTTCATCATCCAGCAATCAACAATTTATTGGTGGCAGTCAATCACTGAAGGCGTTCTCTGGAAGTGTCGGTGAAATCAATACACTCTAGATACACTGAGTGAGAGGGAGAGTGAGAGGAAGGGGGAGAGAGAGGGGGAATAGGGGGAGG